TGTCCTGAAAGAGATGTCATGCTTTAAATATCAAGATACAAGTCATCATCCTCACTTAGGTTTTAACAGGTCTTGGAGCAAAACATTCAAATGCAAAAACATTCATGGGTGGTAACACCACCTCAGGAGTTAGAAAGGGTATTACTTTAAATATACAGTGACACTGCATTGACACCGACTTTCCACTTTGCATGGCTATTCTAGGTAATTTTTTCTCTGCTCTCCCCACCACAAGTGACTGAAAGAGATGGCCTTTTCAGGCAAGCTACCTTACCATTACATTGCATATCCAGCTTCATATCCACTTTAATCTAAGAGATGTAAGACATAAAAAGGTTAATTACTAAATATGGATGCCAAGTACCTGTGAAGCTACCATGAGTAAAGGGAGCATCTGTTTCAGATTCCCCATTTCAGCTTAATATGCCAGCTAAAGCGACCACTGCTGGCACACAGGGTAATAACTCCTGACATTTCCACAAAAGACAAACAAGAAGCACAAAATCTGAGTCTACAACAGAATGATTAAAATGACAAGATTACACTTAATTCCAGAAGAACAAAAAGTGTCAAGGACTGATTTCCACACCACCACCCCCAGTACTTCCTTTCTGGTGTTGGGTTTGTACGGAAAAGAACTAACAAAGTAGCAGTCAAGTTCTGGTTGGTTATTTGATAGGTATTGGCACCACGTTTAAAGAGAAAAGCACCAACTGCTTCCATGTTTCGCAGCTCTGAATTCTTCCAGTATTCCTCTTCTATGAAGTTGGGTTAATGAGCTAAAAATAGTTTAATTTAGACATAGCTAGTTAGTATTTCCTACTAGTGGTTTAACTCTCTCTCCATTCTAATAGTGGAGACAGATCTAAAAGTGGTATCACTTAGCATTTGTAAAAGTCGAGTGTTCTTCACCTCTCTCTAGCTAAAGGTTTTTATAAAGAAAGCCTTCACAGAATACTATTGGAAAGACTATAAAATATTTTCAGCAGCTTACTATTCTAATTTCAAGTAATTTCATACTCTTTGAATATGTATATATAGATGCTAAGCACCTATTGGTTCTGAAACACAGAAACTACATGGCACACAAAACAGCACTGAAGTAACTAATTCATCCAGAAACTGGCTTACTAGCCTAAGAGCAGCACATTCCTATTAAAAATGAATAGGCTTGGTTTTAAATTGAAGTCAAAGAGTGGAAGTTACATTACATGTTTTTCTTCCAAAATCAAATATTTAACAGGAAAAACATAGGTGTGACTGGTAAGGAAAGATTAGTTGCAGCTTAAAACCACACACAGATTGAAAAGTAGAGGGATCTGTTCTGCTAAGTGACCATACAAGTGTATAATTTAGACTGATATTTGTTATCACAGAGGAACTAGAAGTCTTTCATTTGTTTCCAAGAGTCAGATTTTAATATTCTTTCTTAAAAAAACTTAACTGGCCAATTTCCTGATGTGTTCAGTGCCTGGAGTGCAGCATTTACCATCAAAAACATACAATTTTTTAATCTCAATAGGCCGAGCACCATGGCTAGGGTCAGTCAACTGAGTGGGTGGCAAGACCATAGGAAACAATGGTAGAACTTGAGTGGGGGAAGAAACCCAAGAAGCCAAAAAAAGCACCCTCTCAGAAATGGGAGAGTAAAAATCCAAACACAGAAGCAACCTACGGGATTGTCATTTGTATAATATGATACAGAAACAAGTGATGATTGTGAATCCTAAGCTACCTAACTGTTGTTAAATAGTTGATTACAGACAAGTGCGCTGACAACAAACAATGTAGTGGAAAATGATTTTATGAGTCCTCCAACACAGAATTATAAAAGAGGTCTTTCACTTGCAGTTTTGGAAAACATCACATGAACAGTCAGAATAGCATATGTTGTTGATTCACAGTTTACTCTGTGAAGGCTCATCAGATTCAGGAGGATTGCGCTGTTCTGGCCTGTATTAGGCTTGAATCCTTTTCCTAGTTACTATGCACAAAACTCTGAAAGTATGTGCTGTGCGCTTTATGCAACAAAAAGCATCTCTGTTGAAAATTGGGAGGGCCTGTGTGAAATTGAAAAGGTAGATGGATTTGAAAGATACAGGCAAAGAAAAAGCTAGACTAACAACTAAATAATTATACTTATTAATTTACAATTTAAAAATTAAGTGTGTTGAACAAGACATCCTTGAAAGAACATGAAGCAAGGAAGTCTACAGTACAGCAAATGGATCTGGAAGTATCCATTCTTCCTGCTAAAGACTTGCAGTAGATACCAAGATGTCTTGTTCTAGCCTACGCAATTTGTTCAAGATTAGTTAGCTCCTTGAAGTACATGATATTTTTTAAAGCCCATTTGAAATGATATTGCATAGGAGTGGTTAATGTGTGTTTGAGGAACACACTGCTGCCTTTTATGTCATGTAAACAAACTTGCAAAAAAGTTTCTATGCCATAAATTGCAAAGATCTCAGCTTCCACAGACTCTGCAGACTTCTATGCACTGTAAGCAATATTGTAAACAGGCATCTCCTTAGCTGCTGTCCCTTATCCTGGAATGACTACTGTCCAAGGAGAGTATACATGTATTAAGTGAGAACACAGCTGATGAGAGACTTACTCAGAGTTAGCTTCTGCTCTCTGATTGATCTTCTTGGACAAGAAGCTTTATATACAATGCAAATTATGATCCGTGTAACAGCAGTGTCAGTAACAGCTACAACACCACATACCTATTGAAATGAGAACAAATACTGACAGTTGAATGATGGGAACAGTCTTAATACTATTTCCTTCCACTTCCAAAGGAAGTATTTCTCTCCACCTTGCAGTATGACTGCTTTTGAGAAGACCCTGTTTAAGCATTTGCCTTACGATTCTGAACCTTAGTAAAATACCTATAATAGAGGAAATCATGCCTCCTAACTTCAGATTCTTGAATTCTGCCTTAGTTATGTTTCTAAAACCATAAGTATTTTTGTCTCTAGACATCCAGTTGTGAGATAATTTCATCAGAAATGAAGGAACAGATAACATATGGAACTTCCTAAGGATAAAAATTTTCAGGTACATGACACTGTCTTGAATCTGGATTACAGCTAACATGCTACTTAAAGTTAATAGCGGCTAAGCATTAAATAATTTGCACTGAAGTGCAACTAGTAAATCAGACTTCTGTCAACACAAAACAAGAGTACACCTACTTTCTGACCCTTCTTGTAGGAGGCTGAACTGCTGTTTTTACAGATAGAACTGTCCCATATGTCTTTTGTATGCCATACCTTATGAGCCAAGAGCAATTGAAGATTTAATCCTTTTCCTATATCCAGAAAAGGTTAATCAAGCAGTGTTGTGTGTTTTTTTTGTTGTTTTGTGTTTTTTGTTTTTTTTTTTTAAACTTTTCACTTCCTCAAAGAACCTTAGGGAAATTTGATGATTCAGGATAAAAGTTCATGCTTTAATCTTCCTTGTGTCCATAAAAAAAAAAAAAGCAACCAATAGGTCCTGCTTCTACACCAGGATATTATCTTTTTTTTTTTTGGAAGTGATTATAACAACAGAATTACCATCCTGAAAAAAATAAAAGTCAATTATAATGAAATTAAAGGCTACTGGTAATAATCGCTACAGTTATTAGTATTATATATATGTGATTAGTGAATATAGCTGAATTAAGAGCATACACATACAGAATAAAAGCCATTCAAAGCTGTCATTGTTCAATATTCCAGAAAAGCCAGTTGTATAATTACTATCACCAATTGTATAATTACTCCTGTGTAATTGTATAATCACTCCTAGTGAGTCATAGCGGTTGCAAAGCAAAGAAAGCCAAAATATGTATCAACTATGCACTGAAGCTCCAGGATAGCATAAGGGAACACAACAAATATCTAAAAAGCAGCACAGGGTTAAGTTTAGTTCAAGATGACAGAAGTAGCTCAGTTTAAGTCAGTTTGGTTAAGCAGCCTTTAACTTGCAGTCATCTCCAGACAGAAAGGAAGACAAAGGTGTCTGAAGAAGCTCTGAAGAATGCTCTAGAAAAAGAAAGCAAGAAAACCTAGAGTTTAAAGTAAAGAGTGAGACCTGCCAACTTTAGTGTTTAAGTTTAGTTACAGTATATATTAAAAATTGGGGTAGACAATAGTAGCTCCTGTGGAGCTGTTTTAAAATTTCTATGGATTTATTCATAAATACACAATGAAAGACTCCAAACAAATCTCACATATATCAGCACAGAGATGGACAAACAGCAAAACACATTTTAATGCAACCCACATTTTTCCTGAGTAGCCCTTCTCCGGTCACTGTTTCACTTTTCTTTTAGTCTGCTCAGCAGATTGTTGAAATATGAAAAAATAGTAATATGAAGAGTTATGCTTCCCAACACTGTACAGAATACTTTCCAGATTCAAGTTACCACTGTCAGCCTGTACATCATTTTTGAAAATACACTATGTAATACTATACTACACAGAAAGGGCAATATGTTTAAGAGCACAAAACATGAGGGATATCACTGTAAGGTTGTTATCCCATAAGTTTGAGGATTCTGAGAAATTAACATTTTAAACAGAAGCCAAACAGACTAAGCCACAGCATTTAGGTAATACACTAACAGTGGTACTTTCCTCTGCCTCACCACAAAATGTAGATGCTACAACAGCTGTGGTTGCTTGCAGTTGTTGAAGTGGTAATCCACAAGCTACTGCGTAAACTACAGTGCTCTTTTAACTTACGTGAAAAAAGCACCTACCTATTTAAACAAAACTGAAATTGATATTACAAGTGAGATGTCAGTAACAGTAAGAAGAAAAGTACCTGAAGTAAGTTTCCATGACCACGCACCATGTTTCATTATCACCTCATGAAGATTTAATTTTTTACCTTTTGATTATTTTTGGGTTGATCTGGGAGGATGCTGGGGGAGAAAGGAGGTGTTGCTTTTTTTTTTATTTTTAAATGCAATTTTAGCCATTAACTTGATTTTCCAAGTCTCTCATAAAGGAAAGAACATGTTCATATATGTGTATATTAAGACAGAATTTATACATTAGTTTTCCACTAAAACCAGCAAAAATACAATAAACACTAACAACACTTTTAAGGGATTTGTTTATTTTTGGTTTACAAACAAAAGGCACCCAATATTTCTGTTTGTCTTATAAAAGCTCACAGATTTAGCATTTGTTTCCAAACATGTGTTCCTATAGCAGAAAAACATTACAGGAAAAAGCAGTTTTTCCCTGGTCCCAAATTTAATTATCAGTAACTGTTAAGTGACCATGTTGTTGTTTCAACTGCTTCTCCTATTTAACCAATTAGAATACTTTCTGTAACTTGCTAGTCAGTACAGAGAATCAAACTTTCTCTATCAAAAATAAAGTTCAAGTCTGTTTCTGACTAACATCCATTACATGCAAACACTTATGAAGAAATGCAATAAAACAGAGTTCTGATATGGAAATAAAATATTATCTTCAGATAGAAATTTCACAGACTGACCACAAAAAACAGATGTAACAAGTGTGACACTGAATCTACTGTCAATTAAATAGAATGACTGATGGGTTTAAGATACCAATAGTCAACAGATAACCACAGCCCCCAAAGATAAAGGTGGTTTTCTAAACTGCCAAGTGTTTAAAGAGGAGAGGTTAAGTGTCCTTACATTTGAAGCAATCCTTTTCTTCAGTTATGTACTAAACAGAATAGATTCCTAAGTAGCATGGATCAGAAGTAATCTATTAATTGGCTTCATAGTTCCCAGTATAAACAAATCAACAATAAAAGTATTACGTGTAATGGTGATAAAGAACAAAAAGTCTAAAGTCAACTGCTTCACAGAAATAATTTTCAGAATATGATGCATGTCTTTTTGCAAACCAGTCACATGCCAACACGGGAAGAGGGACATCACTGGATTGTAGGCACCTCTGAAAAAAAAAGTCTGCAGTGCAGGAATGCTTAAGCATACTTTCAGATCTAGTAAGATGCTTCTGGAGGTAACTAAAAATGTAACATACCTAATGTATCTGTTAAAGTATAACATCTTCAGTCACAGAAGCCATAATTTATTTTCAGCCACAGTAAGGTCTCTCACACAAGGTGTGGTCCTAGACCTTTTAGGCTTTCCATCACTAGCTTTATATATATATATATATATACACACACAGGTCATTTTAAAAAGGAATTACAGCTTAACTACTACTTACTACAGAATACTTAGCTTCAACAAGGAAGCCATTATCTTTTCAAAATGGCATACACCTGCATGAAAGGTGTTCTCTTTAAAGTAAGTTTCCACAAGAATAGCAAAATAAGTTCTTTACATACTTAATTCAAATAGGACAAAAAAACTACCAAGGGCAAGTATAATGTAGCTCTTGTGTAATTAAGTCATTATTTGCCTTTCCAAGCAGATTCAAGAACATTCACATACAGTATAAATTGAATGAACACACACTGGGCAAGGGTGCTGGTCAGTGCATCAGTAAGAGGAACAGTGTTCTCAAATAGAATTCTGTGCAACCAGAGTTTCAAAGAATCTTTATGTATTGCCTTAAAAAGGGACTCAGGCTTTTCTTACAACTTCTTATGTCTGAGTTTTACCTACCAAAACAAATTACACAGAAAAAGTTTAAATTATTAGGTTTAAATCTGAAGAAATCTAAGAAATAAATTAAAATCTGTTAATATATTTCAAATTTTGAAGCAAGATGCCTCTTGCTCTGCTTGCCCAGTGAAACAAGAGGGTTTTATTGGGACATAGATGAGTGTGCTTATGCATTGGTCTATCCATGCATCAAATTTCATAGCTCAGAGTTTTTGAAAAGCTATTAGTTCATGAAGTATTTGCTAACATTACTTAGAATTTAAGAACAGGTATCTCTCAATGAAAGCCTACAGTTTGTCCAACTACAGTTACCAATAATATAAGTATCAACTAGGCATAATAAATTCTTTTTAAATACATTTACCTTTTGAAGTCAGAAATGTAACAATCAAGTGCTGGCTCTGTATTCCCAACAAAAATCATTAAAAAAAAAGAGGATGGTCAACAAATATTTTCCCCTCCTCATGGTAACGTTCCGTTTCATCTTTTTCAGATAGGATCACTTCTGCTTTTGGAAAAGCAAATTGCTCATGCTGATAAACACAAATAGAATGGGGCTGATTTTGAGCACAGAACTGAATTACTAAGTGCATTCTGAAAACCAGATAAAACAAAAGGCTTTTCCATAATTAAGGGAGATTTATTTTCCTTTTAAAAGCAAAGTAGTCACCATTATGACCATACTTTGAGAAGGGAAGAAGCGAAAGAAGTAAAGAAATTATAGAAGTACTCCACTAGTTTTTCTAGTAGATCCACCAGCATTTATACACCTCTGAAACTCAAAATCCTTTGTAGTTTTAGGATTTCAAAAGGAATAGTTAATAAACTAGCAATTACTATGACAATTTACCTTCCCTAACGTGGTGTAAAAATTAACAGAATAAGTATGTTAAGGCAGATTTCAATCAAAATGTTCCAAATTGCACAGTTATGTTGGTCAGTGGTCTAAAACATTCTCTCCCTAGGTCAATGATTTAAAGTTATTTAAATGCTTGTCTAACGCCAATTCAGACCGGCACTTGACCATTTTATTTTCTATGTTTTCTGGAAGATATACAGTTAACAGTACATATACCATACCATATTCTGCACTCCAATTTAAGATGAAATAATGCTTCTACAAGATGTGAGATGACTACGTTACAGGCTTTGTGTAGTTAGACCACCATATGCATAGATGCCCTAATGCTCAGTTCTCTTCTTCAGTATCTCATAGTACTGGAGGCTCTGAAGTATGAGAGGAACTTGTAACACAGACTAACCACAAAGTACCAGATATTTCTTGCCATTTGTGATCTTGCAATAAAGATACGCCAGATCAGGATCACAAGAATTGTATTGAATCCATAGCGTATATTCCTTAACCTAAGGGGGAAGAAAAAAAAAAAACATGTAAAAGCCAAGGTACCAAGAACTACAGGGTAAAGAGCATTAAAATAACTTATAATGTAGAATTTAACTTGTTCATCTATTCATCTCAACACCACTTTAATAAAGTATCTTAAGTTAGGGTATTAAGTAAGCAAGTAAGTTGAAGAACAAGCAGAGAAGGCCTTTCCAATTGTTCACTGCTCAAAGAGAAATGTGAAAATTCAGGAATAGAACCAGCCTTGTAGCTAACTACATGTATTACTGCTTCAGAGTTGCTTGGTAAAACCTTTGAATGCCAAGGTCACACACACTGACTCACCTCAAGACAGCCACTCACCCAAAACCAGGCTAATTTCACCCTAGCTCCCTTCCAAGCATTTAAAATAATGTATTTAAAATAATGTATTTGTAGAAACACCTATTACTGCTGACAAAAAAGTTCAAGATTTTTCCAGCTACAAAGTTCATAGTCTCCATAGCAATTTTAAACTTGTTCCTTCTCAGAGAACTTCCACCTTAATCCTTTAAGGATTAGGAAAAAAGGAAGTACTGTTTTAGGGTATCTGATTTTTAGCAAATTTCTCATGTAAAAATAGAAGCTCCAAGATGACTTGAAACCAGAATTTGCTCAGATTTCTTAAAAAGAACATGACATCTTTGGTTCAGTAGACTATAAAAATTTGTATTTGAAAGACAGCTCTTTTTAAGAAAATACTCACTGGTCTTACGTTGCTGCATAGGTATACCGGGTGTTATTACCACCAGGCCTTCTTTTACATAGGATGACCAGATGCCATTCCAATATAGGACTATTTCTCATCTTATTTTGGCGTGATCCTTTGTACAAAGAATGTCACTTGTGTTCAGTGCATTTCTGAACTGCATCCAAATCCAAAACTAGAAGGGGACATCTCTTCAGCTATGCCCATCATTATCAAAGATGAAATTTAAAATCTCAAATATACTTTTTAGAGATATTAATCATCTATTTTATTCTTTGAAAAGAGCCTCATTATAAGAGGATTCAGGAAAAACATAGTCAAACTAAACATACAAGGATATTTACTTGGTCCTCTAGATCCCTCACTTTTCAGTCTTTTTCTATCAGCGTTAATTCTGTCAGTCAAGTCCTAGTCAAGATTCAGAACTAATCTCTGGAAATCCAGAAAACCTTCATTTCCATTAAAAACAGCCTGCAAATGTAATTCAGGCTTACAACACATCTAGCTGAAACCCAGAATTTCTCACAAATTCAGATTACTTTGTTGCTATACCATGTGTATATTACAAGCATGTATTACAGCTGTGTCTCTGAATGCGCTATTGTAAGGTTAACACTAGCAAGTTTAGCCAAAATTCTCACTGAGATTGTGCCATGCCAATCTCTTTTGAAGATGACCTAAACCACTTACTCTCAGGTTGTCAGCATAACAGATAAGCAATATTGCAGAACAAGATAAATTGTTCTTTTTTCAATCTTTGATTTTTCTCTTTAAAGAATATCAACTGTCTTTATGAATCACCCCAAAATAAAATAAGTGACACTATACCAGTAACGTTCTGAATAATTACAATGCATTTAAATTGGAGGAGTTAAGTCACAGATAAGAGGCTAAGAGACTTCATCTTACAGCATCAACAAAGTTTCCTGCACTGCAGTGGAAAGTCCATGCCTGTTTACTTGCCTCCTTCCAGCAGTCATGTTCCCAAAAGAAGCAATTATTGTTGTATTAAACTACCGTAGTTGAACAAACCATTCTGACCCTGTATTACTGTGTACCTTTTTGATGTTCCAGAAAGGATACACAAGTAACATCAGAAACCTGGATTCCAGCATACACTAGCAATCAGAGCTATGGCCATAAATGTACTATGGCCATAGATGTACTAGGATTACTAATATAGAGAATAAAGCAAGATCTACAAATGAAGGAAGAAAGATGGCATCTGACTAAAGCATTAGAAAATGCTTTAGACAACATGCCTGGAATAGAAGAACTCTGGTGGAACTAAACAAATGCTATTAAGAACAGTAAATTATAAAAATGGTAAAGTGAAATTTGACAAGGACAGAGAAACAAAAATAAGATGTACACTTACTTATTCAAGTGTTTCCGAGCTGCAGGGAGGCCAGACATTTCTTCATTCAACACATATTTCTTTGTTCCCATGCAGTAATTTTCCATGTATTCTGCCCAGTGTAGTTGTCGAACATCAAAATTAAAAGTCTGCATAAAAATTGAAAGCTTTCACTATTAACTGCCATAAAGTCAATCATTTCTGATAAAGATAGAAAGGTAGTTATTTTCTTTACATCAGATCAATTTCATTGCAATGACAAAAATTTTGTCTTTAATCATAAGAATAATTCACATTAAGATCTGTGACCCAACCACCAGATTCTCATACAATCCATCTCCTGCAAATTTCAACTATTCCATGCCTTGTTTTTCCCTCTTCAGTAACATTCTTCTCTCAGCTTCCAAGCACACTAGTTTCACATTTAATCTGTCCATAAAGAACTCTACTTGTTTCCTTTCCAGACAGGAAATAATTCTCACATACTATGGAATAAGCACACTGCTCTGTACTAAGTTCACTGATAGAGATGCAGTTCTTTTAACTGTACTTGTAGTTGTACCACTATGTTGTAAAGAGTCATAAGAATATCTGCTGCAGAAGTTACTACAGTAACTTCACAACTTCAGTTTCTCACTGATGTCCATTACCTCCATCTCAAACAACACTACAGTACAGCAGCCAGTTAAGTCCCAATAAAGACAATAAAACCTCTAGCTCACAGTTTCTGAACAAAATACTTAAACGTTGCTCTGTAAGAACTTGCCTAATAAGACTGTTCTATGAAACCGCAGGCTAATACAACAGCTTGTTTACTGTTTCTGCAAGTTTCACTCCTCTGTTGTTCACAATTCCTCCTCGGTTACATGATCACACTAAATGTCTTGCAGTGCTCAGTGATAAGCTTTAACATGTTAAAAGAGCAGAAAAAATAATCTGCTGAGCAGAGATGGGAAATCTGATGCTTAACTACTAAAAATACTGTATTTAATGACATTTGAACAAGCTGATAGTGAAATGTCACCGAACAGGGCAAGTCTGAAACTGACTACAGCTTATGCTATAAAATGTAGTTAGCAACAATAAATATACAATTCCACTGTGTTTCAGAAAATAACATACCTAATCCTGGAAAAGCTATCAAAATCTGGAAGGGGAGAGGATGGAACAACAGGAAGAATAAGGTATTTTCAACAACAGTTTTTGTTCCTCCTCAACCACCTTCAGGACTTTTGTCATCCTGCTTCTAGGTACACTTCCCCATTGCACAGGGCAGTTTTAGTTCACAATGAGTGAGAGAATTTGAGGACATGTAGCTGTATTGCCAAAGCACGAAAAGTGTACCCAGAGACTGTCACTAGTTTGAAACACAAAAAGGAAACAAAAAAAACCCTCAAAAACTACTTCCTGTTCCTCAGAAAAACAAGATAGTGGTCAAGAAATAAAGCTTTGTTTTACTCATGATGCAAGTTAAACCAGTAACACAGCTTGGCTACTTGACTGACATATAGGGCAACACCTGATCATGTATGATCAAGCCACCCTAACAACTGTCTTTTGTACACAGCTTCCTTCAAGGAGTCCTGTCCTTATCTCTGATCAGACCACTGATCTGGCTTACAACACAGCCCTGTACAAACACCTTGGTACATTCAAATGGCTGTGGCAGGACTATCCAGAACTGAGTTCCTACCATGCTTCGTTCCACATTGCAGTAAGCAGCATTACTGATTCATGTCATATTAGAACAGTAAGTTTGTACTTCAGTCTCCATACCATACAGCTACTTACCTTTTTGTCTTCAGGGGTTAGCTGATTCATTAGCATAGTCATATTTTCAGTATTCCAGATCCAAGAATTGCTCGTAAAATATTCTAGTAACATCATGGCCTTATGAAGACGTGATATTGTTTTCATCATCCTACAGTCCAAGGAACAGAATGTACAGGTTACAGTGGTAAATAAAAAAAAAGTTTTATAACCCCGCACCTCTCCTTCAACATAACCCATCCTACTCTGTATCCAAACCATGAAAAAAAGTTAATACACAGAAGTATCCTATCAGTCTAAAGCAAGATGTTACTGGAGTTTAGCTGTCCAATCTTGATATGAAAGCAGAACTTGCTGGACAGCTTTTTTTTTTTTTAATTCTACTTCCCCATGGAACAGTAAGTTTCCTCTCTAAAACGAATGGCCAACAGAAGACAGAGTTTTACCATCCTTTCTTTGTAATTTAGGACAATACTTAATACTTTGATACTTAACACTTCTCATTTCAGCATAACAAATATCTAGCTGTACTGAACAATTTAACTTGATGAACATGTTTAAAATAGAGTTACACAGTGCAGAACACAGCAAGGGAGTAAATTTCCCTAACCTTCTGGCACACTGTGCAATGCCACATCTCTAAGAAAAAACTCATTTATTATGGTCAGTAAGAGACCAAGGCTTAGAACCACCAGAAATAGAGCTTTGCCCCCTACTGTTACCGCAGCAAAGAGCAGGATCTATTCAATGGGCAGATAAACCATAGCAGATCCTGCTAATTGGGTGATCAGTTCCAGGCTACTTCAAAATATGCAGAAATACCTTCCATTATCCTTTATTACACATGGGTGACAACTCTATAAAAATATCACTTGGAATGCAGAGAAATTATGTTATAAGGATCAATTTGGGCAAATTTCCCTTTGATCAGAATACCTGAAGTAGACCCAAAAAACATGAGTTATCCACTCTTAGATGAAAGAGTTTTCTTGTTGTAAAGTGTTACAGAGCTACAGATGATCACTCAGCTTTAGTAAGTACTAGGTAGTATTTACATGAAATGCTATTACATTTCTGCTTATGGAGCTTGAGCTATTTCCATCTCAAAGAATTGCTTCCAATTTGATCCTTACAGGAGGGCACAATGGTCATTTTAAGCAGAGCAGAGGGGCACATAGGAAAAGCAAAGAAAGCAGAACAACCCAGCAGTAATAGGAAATGGCTTTCTGAAGCTCAGTTTTGTTCAATAAAATACATAGCAGCAATATAATTCCCTGATTTTTCTCAGAAAGTTGCCTTGGTACATTCATACTTGTAGAGGAGACAGCACAGTCCCAGAAACTCTTCCAAACATTTACATTGACTAACATTAATGACTGGTATCTCACTATGTAAAGGAATAGTGAAATTGCCTCTAAGTCTCATGAAACAGAGTATTACGAATGGCTGAGACCACTGAAAAAGCAGAAGTGTATCTGAAGTACAAAAGTATTAACACTTTCTTAAAACCTTCCACAGGAGCATATTAAAGGCTAAAATTGGAATACAGTTCTAACAGTTAATTTCATTTGAAAGCATCTAGGAATGTCTACTAACACCCATTTATAGTTTCCCCAGCTGGGCAAGTTGGCTGTACGGGAGCTGAGTTGGAGTTCCTCTGATTCAAAAAATAATTAAGAATATAGACTGTGTCCAGTAGACTAAACTGGGTTTTTAAAAAAAAGGAATGATCCTCCAGCAGCTGTCTTAACAGATAAGTCTGAAAAAGTCACAAAAACATAGACTCAGAAAGCAAAGAGCTCACTGGTCAGAATAGCCAGAAAGAGCACTTCACAAAATGCCCTGGATAACAATAATGCAAAACAGGACAAGGCAGCTACATGTGGCAGACTCTTCTGTGGATGCCTGCCCACTGACAGTCTAAAGTTTATTTAATGTAGTTGAACTTATTGTGCCTCTCCAGTTTGTTATGTTAAACCGGAAGAATAGCTGGATTCTACTTAGAGTGCCTAGACTGCTTTAGTACTAGAAAACTTAGGTCCCTGCAAAAAAACTAAATGGTATAAATGAAAATCTGAATAAGTGTAAATTTGGAGCTTGCTACCAGCCCCTGACATTATTTTTAGCTCTTTTTCTAAGAAGAGTCTCTAACCTTCACAGGGAATCCTGCTGACTCTACTTATGGATATGGTTTTAGAATACAGATAAGCTGATTTAAAAAAAAAAAAAAAAAACAAGCGGCTAAAGACAATTCTTTTACCTCAGCTGCAGACTCTGTCTCACATTGGATTTAGTGACTGGCAACAGAACCAGCTAATTAAGTTCGTCATCATAAAATGGAATTTTTTTTTTTTTTTTTTAGTATTAGCTTCTCATTATATCAGCCAAAATAATCAAATGTCTCCACATACTCTTAACTGCTAGATCTGACGCGAAAGAAGTGACAGAAACATGTGGCTAAGGGAGGGCAGCTTCCTCAGTGACAAGTTGGTAGCCTGCAATAAATCAGCATGAAACTGTTCTCCTCTCCCACCCACTTTGCAAAAGAAAAGGAATTATAGTGACAACCTCTTATATTCAGAGATATCAGCAATAAGTGTCATTTACTGTACGCTTATTCTGGCAGACTAAGTTTTGTTAGAGAGATTTTCAAACTTCAATAGCATCACATTCCTCCTGCAAATAGCAATACAGATGACAAAGAAGAATGTGAGAAGTATGTAATGAGGCTTTCTCTCAGCCTGAAATTGATACATACACTTGACAACAGTTAGCTACAATTCTTCAATATCAAAACTATATATATAAAGTCAGTGTAATATCAAATACTGTATTACACCTTCAAAAGCTTAGGACAGAAAAATCAGACCTGCTGATCATAAGGAGCCAAACACTTGCTGCAGTCAGCCAGTGTGACAATATGCAAGGCTTTCACCTACGCTAGGTATAATTTTGCCTCTACTAGCTAGCCCTTATTGCCATTAGCACAAAATACAATCAAAACACAACCAATCAAGAAGCACGTCACAGAAATTGAGTTTTAAGCAACAGTTATACAAATCAAGTATCCGTAAATTAGGTGGGCATGTTTCTGTAGCAGACAAAAAATAACCTGGCTTAAGGTTATTACCACATTTTCAAGTCTTACACCATCTATTTTCTCTAGGCTAAAAGGTTCTGAAGCCAATACAAGATATCCTTCAGAAGATCTGCGTTGTTAATACGCAAGTCTCTGCATAAGCATTAGAGACAGTTGGAAAAAAAAATTAAGAGATTCCTCCTAAGGTATATGATACAAGTATTCATATTTGTAAAATGGTAAGTTTTTATTTAGCTATAAGTTTTGAAGTATAAGAGAAAGAGGAATTCTTTGTTTCTAGCAGTTCTGTTGTTCTTGTAAGTGCAGAACTTTTTTTCAAAGTATTTGCAAGGGGAAAAAAGTCATCTATTCAATGAAAATATACTGTTCACTCATTTCTGGTTTGTAAGACAGAGACTATGTCAAGGGTGCTTCATGTTAAGTTTTAAGAAACTTTAACTGAAGTGATCTCTTTAAACCTCTCTGCACCCACCAGCTCTACCTCCTCTGTAGCTTTCTAAGAAGAAGTAGCAGAAAATGAATTGCTGGAGAAACACATAAATTACAGCTTCAATGTTTCATGCTACTTTCTGTTACAGAATCACAGAATGGTTGAGGTTGGAAGGGACTTCTGAAGATCTAGTCCAACCCCCCTGCCAAGCAGGAGCACCTAAAGCACACTGTGCCAGATGGCATCCAGGTGGGTTTGAGTATCTCCAGAGAAGGAGACTCTACAATATCTCTGGGCAACCTGCTCCAGTGCTGTCACCCTCACAGTAAAGAAGTGCCCTGTCATATTCAGGTATATTCCCTGTGCTTGTTCTTCCAGAGTAATTGGAAAGACCTGCTGGGTGCATATTTTCAAATGGCTTTAAAGATATCAAATACACTGAGCTGCTTTTGAGAAGAGATAGTTCTGCTGTGGTAAGTCCTATGCAAAGTTACAGGCAAGAACTATGCCTTATATTAGGCAATTAATAAGCTTTGCTATGCAAGTACATAAAGCAAGCTACTGACAACACTGCCAAACTTGTACAGTGAGAATTATCACCACTATTCATATAAAAGCACAATACTACAGAAGTCTACTTAAGTAGTTTGGAATATTAAATCCTCATTATGTCATTTGATCCTTATCGTACTTATTCCATCTACAAAGTTCAGAAGAATTACATGCATTATTTCCTCCTTAATTTTCCTTAACTCTTACTCAGAGAATTGTTAATTTCAATAATGTTTCACTAGATGCAAAAGCAATGAAAAATAAGTTTTGTCTCACTAAAAGCTTTATCTACTTCCACAAGTACAGTGTACCAGAACAATTTCATATTGCATAAAGATTTCAATAGGTTAAGTTTCCAAAAAAATTCAAACCCTTCAATAGAAAGGACTTAGTTTTTGTGGGTGATTTTTTAATATAGTTATGAACATACTCCTTTAATTCTAAAGGGTTATAAAACCCAATTAGTTTTATTTGCTAAGAATTTCTCATATGGTGATGGTATAATATCCTGACAGTATGCCAATAGTGCAGTTCAACCTATGCAGCAATTTCACTGATTAGTTTTTCCTATATTATATGCAATAAAGAGCCTAGAAATATATTCATATTCAACACAAAGGGCAGATCGTAGACCATGTGAAGTCAAGTTAACACAACATTTGCATTTGCTTGTGCTGATTTCATCTTTTTTTTTTTTTTTACTACACCAGTCAAGTTGTTCTTGCTAAGTTGTGGTGCAGAGGTCACATTTTAGATTAAGCTAGCCCTTCACTCAGAAAAGCATTGTAACAAGCTTTAAAATCTGTAATTATGCTTCCAAGGCTTTAGAAGTTTCCCAGTGCATGCTACTTGGTAATTAAAACCAGAGGTCAACCAGACAGAATGACAACAGCAACAGTAGTACATCCCTATACTAGTACCATCTCCAGCCTGTCAGTTAAAGTAGGTTTCAAAGTACTTTGAACCAGACAATTAGAAAAAAAAAGCAGAAGAATAAAGATCTGGCTCAATTTTCTTCTATTATTAAATAATGCATGAAACCCATTAGGATTTAAAATTGCACCTCTATCAGAGTTCCTCTCTATAATTTAAAAAAAAAAAAAAGCTTTTTAAAAAGGCTTAAAGAAAAGAATCCCCATATAATGAAAGCTATATAGCATGAAGCTATATAGCATGCTTACATGCTGGGCATCAAACTTCAAGTTTTAATTCCAAGCAACTGAATAAAATGTGCTACAGTTTGCTACCTTAGCAACTGAATAATCACTTTTTGATTTAATTGAACCTCCCATCTTTCCTCCAAACTTGAAGTTTTCTGCATGATAGGAAACCTATCCAGCCACTACTACATAAAACTAATTAGGAATACTCATATAATTTATACTTCACGGGCCAGAAGATACATCTTTAATGTCACCTCTTGTACTAGTACTGATTAATATTTAAATTCTGTGTTTGAACACTAAATAGGAACTCCAGAAAAAGCCAAAAACAAGATTCAATGTTTCATGCCTGTTGAGTGTTCTAAACAACGTGTTTATTTATAGCCTTGTTTTACTCTCATTAGGTTAAATACTTAAAAGACTGGACTTCCAAAGACTGACATGACTCTGGCAGCATTATTTCCCATTTGGAAGATAGCAGGTTGATATCTGTAGTATAGTTATTTTTAGCAAGTGATGGAATCTTGACATGTATCAGGGAATTTCTATCAGTTTTTATGAAAAACATTTTATATTGCAAAAGAACCTAAAAAGCTAGGAATTCATGCTTTGATCCATAGAGCTTAAAATCTTTTCAATGCAGAGATAATGTGCCTGCATAGGCACAGCTGCCTGTCCCTACTGTTGCTGTGAGTGCTATGCTATTGATTAGGCTTGGAACAATGGAACCCAAGGTAGTTCAGAAGTTTTTGCCTACAAATGAAATACAAGGAGGGGAAAACTTATTTAATACTTAGGACTGGATCAGTAAAAGGTAGCAATGTAAGATAGACCTAGACTACAGGACAATGAATGAATACTCACTTGTATTAATACTGTCACCATAGTGAAGATTTTAGAGTCTGATGACAAATACTTTTGAAAACATAATATATGCAATGAGTTAAGATCATATGGCTTGGCAAATCTGAAACGAATTGTCATGACATTTTATATTTTTTCTATGTAATCTAGTTTGGCCTATTTAGGCAGAATTATGCAATTTTTACCACTTCAGAAGTTAGCCAGCTAGTAGTGTAATTATTATAAACTGAATGGAATGTTGAGATGATACAAAGTATGCCAGATCAAGCTGTATCATCTACAGGAATAACCCACAGTTATTTACTCTTCCTCCCTTCCATTTTCAGTTTATAATAGCAACAACAATCTTAACGCCAACCACTTCCCTGAGTTTAATGACTGACTAGGATTCTGACCTGAGATACATCTTGGACAACATTGCTGAGTCAGACATTAATCTCTTAGAAATGCAGTCAATGGATTGTTATTGCTTATAGTTAGTAAGTCTAGGTAGTACCCATGCTGTGTCATCTTCATCTCCACCACCTTATCAAAATATTTTTAGCCCTGTCCTTCTTACCATGGCTTATGACCTGTCAATCTGAGCAAAACATCGTGAAAAAATGCAGGCAATGTATGGGAGACTGTGGTCCGACAGAGATGCAAAAGGGGGTTTGAACAAAGACTCATGCTAGGGTGCCTTACTGCACTGCTTAACGGATTTGTCGTGTAATTCAAATATAGGTGCTTTACTGTAGGAAAAAATAAGGATCAACATTTTAATTATTTATCATTCAAGAATGAACATAATTTTTCTAGATCTTATATTCTGTTTACCTCGAATACTCAACCCTACCAAACAAAATATCCAACAAAAAACATCCTCATTTTTGCTAGAAAGTTTAAATTCACTTTGAATTCAATGACCTATTCTCAAAGAGAAAAAAAAAGAAATAGAAAAGGTGAGTTTTAGTCACACAACATTTAGGGGAAGAAGAAATCAATATATACCATAGTGTAAGCATAGCTTTGTTTAAAAGTAAGAGTAACAGAAGAGACAGAGCTAGTCACCATTACCTTGGGCTTCTTCCAGTAATCCTGAGGTAGATATCATACAGGAATGCTGGGGCCTTATGGCTTACAGCAATCCAGTAGTGATATAAAAGGTGATTGGAAGTTAGATTAACATTGGGCCGTCTGAAGGCCTGTTCGAGAGGATTCCTCTTGAAAGTAGAAATTACATGGTATTCTGAGAAAGAAAAGTTGCGTAACAGCTTTGATGGTAACCATGTAAAGTTCAATGGTTTTCAAAGTACATTACAGCGTACAATATTTACTTTAGTATGCTATTTAAGTAACCATCCTAACTCTAATAACCATAAAAACTAAAACAGCTATAAGCCTTAAACCTAAGATAGTGTTAAACTGGTTCTTATTATATCAAAGTTTTTCATACCTTTATCTTCAGAATATTTTACTGCAGCTTTACCGTAGCTTCTCTTTCTGGTCCTCTTCCCTACCTTCAGTTGATTTTGAAAGTTCACAGCAATTTCGGTTTATATAGCATGTAAAGCTATTCAAATATCCATCTGTATTTCATAAAGGCTATTCTAATCTTTTAAATGAAGAACACTTTAAAGAAGTAGGCTGAGGACTTTGCAAGCATCTGAAGTGCATTTCAAATTACATTTAACAAGTTATCCATATTTAAGCTTTTCTAAAAACATTGTTAGGATTGGACTCCACGTCAAACTCTCATTGACAACTGAAAATTCTGTACATGGCAGACATGTACATCTTAAAGTATATCAAATTTCACTTTATCTTTGTAGTCATCTCTTGTAATTTCATTCCATTGCTTACAGGAAGTCTTTAAATACCCCAATTAGAATTGCAATATAAATGAAGCCAGCAACTTTCCAACTTCAGCTGAAGTGATAAGGCTTATAAATATAGATACATAAATCAGCAAAAGCAAAAAAGGGTGAAGAAAGTTGTCAAGAGAAATAACATGGATTTAAGTATTTAAGATAGAGGAAAAATGATGATCTTAACTGAGAAATTATTTCTTAAAAAAAAAAAAAAAGAGCTAATTAACAGCTTTACCATACCAGCCAGCTTGCATTGCTATTTATTATAGAAGTCTATTACAGAGCTCTCAAAATGTGGGTTACATTTTAGTCAGGATATCTAAGATGAAAATAGGCGGCCCTACTTTCTTAGAGATTACTTTCCCTCAGCATGTATAGAGGAAGTCTCACATAACCATCTAAAGATTAAGAGCCACCTCAACCAACAATTAAATGAAGCTAGACGTAACAAAAAAGCTTCAAGTGCAAAAATTATCATACACCCTCAATTACGCATTTTGAGCTGTTTACCCATATATTTACAGGAAGGTTGGCATTAAACCCAACATTAGCACTACTCCTTTTGGCAATGCTTTTCTTTGCACACTACCCGCACTCTACAGATTAAGTCATTGAAGCATCAAGCAGAAAAATCAGTTCTGCCATACTTTAAAAGAATTTAATTAAAAAAACAAAGAACAAAATGGAAGTGATAACTCTACAAGGAGAAAAAATTAACAGAAGAGAATGAAAAAGCACAATGCACTGCAAAACTGGGTTATGGCTGTTATACTAATTTCAACTATAGCCTGTGCTTTTAGTACTGATCTTATTTTTCTATTAAAGCTCATAAAAAAAAAAGAAATATGGCATACCAACTTCACTCCAGTGGAAAGGGTTGGTACCACCTGTAGTACAGTTATATACCATGATATTTCTTGGTCTGGAGGGGAAAGAGGCCAAAGAGCACATCAGAAGACCAAAAAAAACACACAAAACTTATCAAAAGCCATATCTAAAGTTACCTTTGCCCTCACCATTATTTACATAAAGCAAAAGTTGTCAGCCTCACATTAGGTTTTTTGCTTCCTGAATCGTTCCAGTATTTTAAGCCATCTTTAACTACTGTATATATGATAGCTTATAACTACGTATGTATATATACACACAGTTTATATATACATAAATGACAAATGTATATTTTTTCCCTAGAGAATGCTTTGTCTACAGTATTGTAAGTCATACTGATTGCACTGAAGCCCAGGAAAAAAGAAATCAGGTATAGCTTATACAATTGAATCATAGGTGATGTCTTCCTCTTCATCATTAAATGTTGGCCATTATCCTAAGTTACACTCTGGTGGACTAATGCTGTTAAAACCTTAGAACCCCTTTGTCCTAGATGAACAGCAGGACACTGATTAGAAGTTCAATAGAAGACTGATTTATCAAAATGCACAGTACCATCGCTTCAAAGTATTCAGTACTTTCTATCGTCACCCGCTGTACCTATTAACTCCGGAATACCAGGCTGCAGCCAGTGTCATATTGACAACAACATCTACTGGAACAAGATCTGCTACTGCACCATTGGTAGCTCTCATTGTTCGAAGAATTCCTTTTCCTGCCTTAAAAGAGAAAAAAAGACAAGACCCACCAGTAAATCACATGAAATTTTGCTCTTTCTAAAAGGAAGAAAGATTTTTTTCCCATTACTTACAGCAATGAAGAGGCCACTAGGTCCATTGAAGTTATCAATCCATCCCTATCACAGGTAGGAAGGAAAGGTTTTAGTTAGTGTAGTGAAGTCAACAGTTTAAAGTGAAAACTTGACAACACAGGAGAGCAATACCAATTTCCATGTCTCTAAACCAAGTTCTTCCATAGTAACTCATCAGATTTTGCTACAACTCAGACATGAGATCCATCTGTAGTTTCATTTGGCTCCTCCAAATGCTTATTTTTTAGTTAATAAACTGCAAAGTACTTCCTACATAAATACATTGTGTTGAAAATATTTCACTAGCTTATATCAACTCAGTTTAACAGTCCATAGCAAAACTGCTTGTTTGTTCTGTTTTTTGTTTTGTTTTGTGTTTTTGTTTTGTTTTTTTAAGTTTCACAGACATTTTCACTCAACTTCAATGCTAACGTTTAAACATTATATAAGTTTTAATTAAACATATACTTACTGTCTAACATATACATACATTGTACCTACTCAAAAAGGCATGTGATGTTGATGTGTTTTTAAGTGCTTAAGAAATATTCAGCATTGAACTGGAAAAGCTGTTCCAGCACTATCTCCCATACTGGAAGAAGCACATAGCATATATACCATACATCAATATAACAGAGTACATAAAGCTTCTACTATCTCCTGTCTTGGCTAAAAGAAGTGGAGTCCAAACATTTTTACATCCTGCAGACCCCAGATTCCTTAATGATACTATTCAGCTATTGACACACCAAAGCACCTTGAAGAGGGGAAAATAGATGAAATTACCTTTCTTACTTCAAGATTCTGTATAACTATATTGTGTGTAAAATAGTATCTCCCATTGTAACAGAAATGTATTGTTCTATGCTTAGAAGTAATTTATCCACCTAAGCTTCCCATATACAAATGCGATATTTGGTATCTTCTGCATGAGAGTTGTTACCCAGAAGCAGACAAGCCACAGCTTTAAGTTTAAAAGATTTTCCTCTACGAAGGTCACTACATACACAAGCTGTCAGTATGTGCTACCGTTTACAGGCATGAGTCATGTTAAAACTCAACTTACAGGAAAAGGCTCCTTCCAGCTAGCACCAACAATAGATGGCCTTATAATGGCTGTGTTTAATTTTGCACCTTCTTGCTGTACTACATATTCAGCTAAGGCTTTTGTATAAGTATATGTGTTAGGCCTATCGCCAATCAGTTTAGGTGTAATATCATTCACTAGGCCATCATCCATCCACCTACAAAAACAAAATAAGAGGCAAGTATAAGTTACTGCATACTATTTTACTGGGGAAGTGAAGGAAAAACGATAGCCAGACCAATCAAAAATAATTCTGCAATTAAAATACAATCTTTTCTTCAAAAGAACACGCAGGAAAACATAGAAGTATTATCATTACCTCAGTTCATTTTTAATGCTAGTGCTATTACATCTATAGTAAGTAGTAAGATTTCTTCCTTACCTTGATAACTATGAAACTAAAAATGATTAACTTACAAGAAGGTAAGATTTTGTATGACATGGAGGAAGTGATAGACTGATTTATATGTAAGATTACTATTATTTACATTGCACATGACTCGTCTCACACTTGTCCTTTTCACTTAGGGCTTGACAGCTACTAAATAAGACTACTACGTAAGATCTCAGGACAGCAAATGTACACACACAATACAGAACAAATAACTTTCCCCTAATAATATCCAATACAAAAGTCTATAGAACATGGGTATTCAGAAAGCACCAACATTAAAGACCTAACAGAACTGCTTGTACATTTGTTTCTGAGTAGTTAAATAATAGTATTTCAGTATATCAGACTGATCTTGCAATGGCCTTAGATAGAGGTAGTGAAGGTTGAAGGTAGTAAAGGTGAGCTGCTAACTTAGCTCTCTGTCCTTCACAGTACCAGCACCAGTACATTTGGAACAGTGCAGCTTTCTTCTGTTTGTTTTTAATAGCTCCTGATCTAGCTCCTCATACAGAAGGCTTCAGGAATAGCCTGGAGCATCTCCCCTCTTTCAGCACTGTTCTACCCCTAGCTCAGCTTAAAAAGAAACCATGAAACCTTAACCTATTGCCCTTACAGGAAAGGGTAGCATCAGCCTTACGTTAGACTAACAGAACGTCATAAGCCAGTTTCTTCATCTGTTTCTTAATCATTGTTTGGTACTTCATTACTAGGAAGTAAGTGGTTACAGATTACTGAAGTAACTTGGTAAAGCAACACATACTCAAGAGAATCCATCAGTTTCTTGGGATCAACAGGAGGTGGATAAACAATTTCTTCAATGTGTTTTCGATTGCAATATGCATACGCAGTCGAAACATGTATAAATACTTCTAGATTCGTCATTTGGTGTGCCAATGAGAGGAGCTGTTTTGTGGAAAGCACATTTAACTGAACAGCATCTCTGTTGATTAAACAGAAACTTGATTAGTAGAAAGCAAAACAAAAACAGCAAGCAAAAAGGAATAACTGGTCAACCCCCTAATTCTTTCCTAAATGCTTTGGTGGTGGATGTATATACAGTAATTCTAGTTTCTGGACCCCTTCCTCAACCCCCTCCCCACCAAAACCACTATGGATAGTAGTATCCTAACTTTCTTCTCAAAACAATGACACATTCCACCTAGAAATTTCTGTGTTCAGGATAACTTTTGTAAGTTTTACCTTGTTCTTATTGGCATCCTCATGCTCTGTTACTAAACAGGCAATATCAGAATATTGATCTGCTCAAGCTAAATTCTAATCCAGTAAGCGTTTCCTAAAATGTGATGGAACAACTGCAACAGGACACCTAGCTGCCAAAGGTATAGATGCCAGTCAATTTTAACAGCAGCCTTGAGCTTCCTAGGTCAAGGCCTCAGAATGAAGGTTTAGGGGGCTAGTAAGTTGATCTTCATGTAGAATAGCACAAGACTCAATAGTACAACAGGATTACAGGAAGGAAAAAAAAGTGAAAGGAGAAAAAAAAAAAAAATCAAGATCCACACTTGCATCCCTCCAACCTTCACAATGCTTCTCATTAAAACAGAGTCCTTAAGTACACTGTAGGAGAGAAGGTGTATCTCTACATTTTGCACTGTATCAGAATACAGCTTATGGACCAGCTATGATGATTTTTATGTATTTCAGACCTTTTCTCCAGCCTCTAGAAACTGTAAACAAGGCTAGTGCTTGTATAAATGTACAAATCAACTAAGTTTTAAGAATACTGCTAAATAAAACCTCAAAAATCTTTGCATTGGTGTTACAGTTTAAGGCTTCTTTATCACATATTATTACTAAAACATCAGGTGTGCAATGGACAAGGAACCCTCATCCCAAAGCAATTAAGTCTAGAAAGTGTTACTTCTGAAAAAGTTACTTCATCTAAAATAAGTTGTTTTTTTTTTTTGTTTTGTTTTTTTTTTTTTTTTAAGTCTTCAGTGCTTCTTTCAAAGAGGTCAAAGGAAAGAAGTTCATAATCATAGCTGCAAGCATCGTTTTAAGATATAGAAATACAGAGCCAATACAAACCAGGAAGGGTTCCAAAATAAGCTAAAGTATTCGCTTTCTTGGCTTTATTCCTATCACTGACCCTGAGCTAAATACTTTGAACTTTACATCAATTAATCCTATTAATTAATATAGGAAGGCTGCTCTAAGTGATATTCAGATTTGTAAGGTTCCTCAAAAAAAAAAAAAAGCCATTCTAGCACATCTGCTATGTGTTCCAGCCTAAAATCCTTCCTAAGAAACTAATTAACTGATTTTCTATTTTGCTAAACAGTGTACTAGGCCCTCCAGGAAAGTGTAAAACTGCCAGAAGCTTTCTGAATCAAGACCTTTCCACCAGTTTTTCCAATCACATTAAAGTCCTTCCAGACTTTTGACAGGTTGGCAGTTCCCCAACATTGAAGGTCCATGAAATAGCAATAAATATGGGCTACCTTATGTCATTTCAGTATACGATACAGCACTCTTGGAGGTAATGCCAACATTTAAAAAAAATCAAAATATTTCTCAACTCAGATTTTCTTTACCTAAGAGTTGCTTTACATTCATAAAAATTGGAGTTATTTTTCCAAAGTCATTTCTCCAAATTGTTTATTTATTCTAGTGTTTCATCACTAAATCAGGTCGTTGTTTCTAAAAAGCAGATATCTTTTCTTGCTTTTGAGAATCCTTTTTTTTGGTTTATTTCTTTAATAAACTTTGTACAAGATAGAAGTTACTCAATTTTTAGTCTTAAGCATTCTCCTTCCGCACCTAATTCTCCCTACACCCTCCAATGCAAACTTGCATTCTTCTTACTGGTGGACTTTCTGAAGGCTGAGCAACATTGAATTCACTGTTTGTTCATCAAGTAAAGAAAACAAGTACTAGAGTTTCCACCCCCATCCCAGTTTTGGGAAACTCATTCTCTAAACACATATACTTGCTAACAAGGGGAGCTAAAGGAAAAGTTTGTGTTCTCTTACACAAAAAAGCTCTGATATCAGTAGTGAGCACAGTACATACAGCTACAGATTATTTATAGCTTCTTCAGCCATCCCAGAAATCAGAGCAACACATGAGGTTAGGAAGACTTGGAAAAACAACATATTCAAATCTCTCTCAACAGCTTCCCTTCAAAAAGGGCTTTAAAATTCAGGTACAGAAATTTAGTAAAAAACACTAAGGGGCCTATAACAGTACAGAAGTCATTTATTTTGCTTCTAAGCACCAAGAATAGATGTCTTTTTGCCTAAAGCTTTTTCAAGATGTGATTTTTTTTTCCATGTCAAATAGTGTATTCTAACTGCTGGCAAAGCAGGTTTAAATAATGTATCTTCTGTGTTTCTATGAAAAGCAAATGAACACCCAATAGCAAGTTTTAGGTAGGGAGAAAAGGTTAATACCTGATGGGGAATCATTGAATTGACCAGACACACAAGAACAAAATGAGATTAGTAGTCAGACAGCCTGAATATTTGCAAGATTTTGCAGACACCTGAATTACTCCTTCCCTCTGAATACCATCAGCTTACTGAACTAGAAGGTACAGTATTTTAAACTCACCTTAGTGTTTCATTGAATCTGACTGTAGCAGCACAGTGAAATATAATATTAATGCAGTCTATAAGTTTTTGTTTGATCGGGCTACTAAGGTCCAGTTCAGGCTGTGTAAGTTCACTTGTAATTACTATTATTTTTTCTTTGAAGTCAGGCTGCTCCTCTCTCAACCTGTCAAAGAGCTGTCAAAACAGGATTAAGAATTCAAACTAATACCCAGTGAAGATAAAAGGCACATTTTATAATTGGAGATAAAAGACATTTTCTGGCCATATATAACTATATTGCCTTATTTCTCAAGATCAGTAGTGGTAAGATAGTGTTTTAGGTGTCCTACAATACGTTACTGACTTACCGTGAACACACTCAGTGATGTTGTTTGTATACATTTTATCCCAAGTGGTGAAAACAGAAGTATTGCATGCGTTGCACAGAAAAGCAGTGAGATTGATGTATACTTATAAAGAATTTTTCTAATGCTCATGCCTATCCTTAAGATAGGATCTCTCAATGTCAGAAGAAACAATTAGACACACAAAATTAAAGCAATTTTCAGTAGCAGTCTAAATACCGTTATCTTTTCTTTCAACAGGGGAAAGATGACAGCTTAGCCAGTTTCCAAGGTAGATAGTGTCTATTCAGATTCTTGCAAACCTGCACAAGTCATTCTGTTTCTCAGATTTAGAAAGCTTTCATCAAACTTGAAAAAAAAAAAAAAAAACACAACCATTTAAGAAAATCATTGACTTGTGCCAGCTCTGGGGAACTTCCAGATTAAAAACCTCAACAAAACATCTGTTTCTCTGGCCAGTTAAGAAAGAAAAAGCCAGGGTTAAAGGCTGCTTGCTGCATTAGAACATCTAAGCAAATCTTACCCATTTAAGAAAACTTCACCCACAACTGTGTTAACTGCATTCATCATACACCCTCTTAATTAAGTGGATTCTAATCACGCAGCTTAACACACTGGTAATCAACATGCAAGTTTTCCTGAGCAAAATACTATGGGACTGAAATAAAACACCTTTTTTTTCCCTTTTTAAACCAGAGCTAACCCTTCTTAATTGCACACGTGCCAGTATTTTATAGTGGTAATACTGCAGTGAGAGTATGGATCATATCCAGTGCTACCAGTCTTGGACTGATCTCCCAAGTATGAAATTTCACCTTAAAGGACAAAGTTGCCAAGGCAGCATTTAAAGCCTGTGATTCTTAATTCACATGTTACAGCAAACAGTGCTTACTTAAGGGTTGGAAGCCTTTTGTCATTTTTAAATAAATTTGTTATATTTTTACTTGGAACAATGTTGCCTGACTCTAGCATACTGAAACCACTGCCCTTTAACCATACTAAGATGTGTGACATGAATTATAATAGAAAGCAGTCTCACTGATAAACATTTAAAACACACAGAAACAGTATGGCTTTTTTAATCTGTATGTTCTCCTTTTCACATCCATAGCCATACATCCTTATCACATTACTCATACTAGCACTAATACCAGTACAAAAGGGAAGTAAGAACAAACAGCTAGAGTACATGCAACACATGACAAGTTGTTGTGTTTACATAAGAATTAGATATCTGAAGCCCAATGGAAACAGAAACCTCAATTTTTTGGGCTATTTGCAGATCAGTTCATCTTCACTATTGCATTCACTCATTTAGACTAGATTCTTCAAGAAAGAATGCCCAAGCATCTGTAGAACCAATTAATGGGCCCATCTAAATCGAAAAAAATTAACGGCAGGGCCCTTGCAAAAGACAAATTAAGACAACAGGTCCCATTAAAAGTGTTCAGTGTCCTTTGGAGGCATCCTAGTTAATCTATACACTTTCAAACCTATTTTGCCTAACCATGAGATAATGACAGAACAAACATCTGGTTTTAGCTATCCCTGTAGATAGTTGGGGAACAGCATCCACTTACACTCTTCTCTAGGGACTAAAATATAGGACTACCTCAAGCACTTTTTTTTAAAACAGGACATCAGATCTGAACTTGTTCCAGCAATAAATGCTCACCCAGCTTAAAAAGAACACAGATTGTTCTAACTGAGCACAAGTCACTATAGGCTATAAGCAGAAGATTTGGACTGAAATGTAAAATCCTCTTACAAGACATGAGCTTCCCAAAAGCTACATACAGGGGCTTAAACTTCAGCGAAGCTTAAGTCAGCCCAGACCAACACTACTGTCCCCTCTGCCTGAATACTATCCAGGTTTACTTGGCTAATAGTGTATACAAAGGACGGACTGAGAAGCTTTCTCCTTTTGGAGTTTAGTTTGAAATTTTGTTTTGGAGAATAAAAAGTGATGACTCCATGTACAGAATTTGAAACTGGATTTTAAGACAGAACACCACTGTAGCTCATTCTGCTGCATTTTGTAACATGGTACTGAACTGCAAGCAGATGCTTTTGGGTAACGAGCTAGAGTTTTGACAAGGTTATTGAGAAGAGTTTATGACAAAGCTATCTTCTCATCCGCTATAATCTTAACCAGTCAGACATGTAAGAAAATTCAGAGTCCTGCTTTAAATAACTTACCTTCTCATGCCCTAAGTGCAGTCATACTCTTACCAAGACCCTTTAAGCACCCTCTAAGCACACACTTTGAACAAACCATACTGCATCTGAACACATTTCCTAAGCCTGAAATATTAAACTGCCAACCCTGCCATCCCATAATAGAGGAAGGCATGAATAGGAATAAACAAACCCTGTTTTACCAAAGTTTATGCTAGAGATCACTCCATTATAAATGGGATACACCATATTGGAGAGGGGCAATACAGATGCAGTTTAAGCTATTTAAACACCCTGTTGAAAACATATCTCCTTGCATACCAGTAGATCCAACAGCACGTTCAAGAGAAGCGAAGCACTAAACCTCATCTTACAGAAAAGAAAATAAGGCACATGGAGAAAAAGCGACCTGAAACCCTCCAAAGAAGGGTCTTAATCTAGTCTTAGAAATCCCAGTCCACAATACCTTTTGCACTTGATTACATGTTCTCTTAACAAGTTTTAACTCAGGTATTTGACTTCTCAATCCTACATCACAGCTGAACACCCTCCTTCTAAATTAAATACAGAATAATTTTTCTTAACTGCACTTGTTCTAGAATAACAGTTTGGAAAACTGTCACAAACACTGTAAGAACCTAGGTTTAGGATTTCTGCTAGAACAAAAAAAGTAACTATTTTGCTTTAGGCAAACCAAAGTTGTTTCCATTTCATTATGAACAAGATACAAAATGACAAAAATGCACTTTGTGAGTACATGATACATACCTTACAACTGGTTATTTCCTGTATTCGTGCTTCAGGTGTCTGCCCCGATTTGTGTCTTACCAATACATACACTGCTTGTACTTTAGGACAAGATCTGAGCAGCTTTTCCAAAAGCACTTTTCCCATGAAACCTGTAGCTCCTGTCAGGAGGACATTCTTTCCTTCATAGTATTCAGGTATGGAAACCATTATGACCTTAAGAGAAGTTAAAGAAGCAAAAATATATTAATGAAACCTCTAGGAGCTCAGATTTGCCGAAGATACATAAACTGCACAGACGCAAACACTGAACTTCATACCTGAAAGAAACTTTTACCTGACTTTTTTTTTTTAAACCTATAACTGGTGCCTAATGTCTTCCACCCCCACCCCCCCCCCATGACAGTCTGAAGAGTCCTACAGGGTCAGCACAGTCATTCCAGATCTTATTGTAAACTGTCTCAATAGTTTCTTTAAGGAATTGGACATCCATCTCATTTAAAAATAGACTAAAAATTGAGCTACTTATCTGTGCGCATGGTCCTTTAAGACTAAGTGGCTATTCCATGTAAACAAAAGGTCATATAATTGAAATATAATCACAAGTAGATACTTCAAATATGTTGACACTGGCCCTGGCATTTTTGCCTGAGTGAGCCAAGTCCCCTGTCAGTATTAGGCTGAACCTTTCTACAAAGGGTGCTATGTCACAGAGAAGGTAGCTGATTGTTAGTTGCTTGGCGTGAGATCTGTTGTTTCCTACTGATTACAAAAAACACATTTCCACAGATGATACAAGGTTCTAGTCTTTTCATCAATTGAAAACTTATCCAAAAAAAGTATTAGAATTCTTACACAGAATGAAGATTTAAATATGCCTTCTAATGAAGCAAAGCGAAAGGAATTGACCTCTGTGCTAAATTTGAGTAACATGTGTTGTAGGCTTTTCTTTCGCTTCAGTTACTATAAAATTCTTATTTCTCTCCCAGCAACTGCTTGGGGACCCTATCTAATTCTAGATACCAGAAACTGGAACAACTGCTAAGGATAAATATAATGCTCTCTCTCACATGACCTTAATGACCTTTAGAATTCAAACTGTGCCTCGGGCCAACTTCAGCCCATTCTGTGCAGTCCAATACACTAATGTCTTCACCAGAACCTTAAAACAACTTACTGCTACTGTACAAGACCACAGAACATGGCTATAGTTCCATAATGGTATATTAACCTAATTAGACTGTCATAAAAAATAACAAGCTGATATAGTAGAATTACTATAGTAATAGTAATTATAGTGGTGAGGCACTGGAACAGGTTGCCCAGAGAAGTGTTCAAGACCGGGCTGGATGAGGCCCTGGGCAACCTGATCTAGTGGGTGGCAGCCTTGCCCATGGCAGGAGGGTTGAAACTAGATGACCTTTTAGGTCCCTTCCAAGCAATTCTACAATTCTGTAAAGAATATCTGTGGTCCCCCATAGCAGATCTATGGAACACTACAAAAATGGACAGACTGCATAAAAAAACATGGTTTAAGAACAATGTCCCCCTAAACAACGTGGGAGACTGTTTCTTAAGCAAAGAAGAATTTCAGTTCTGAATACCCGAAGAGGATGATAGCCTTTTTTCACCTAACACTCAAGAATACAGGAATGCAACTGCTAAAGTGTTTTCTTGTTGCTTTTTTTTTTTTTTTGCAGGGTATTGCAAGGAGGAACTTATCATGGAATATACATGAGATGCTGTATGTTCGGAATAAAGAACTGCAGGCTTAATTTGCATTTCTGCCCGGAAAAAAAGTATACATATAGTTTTGGAATATTTTCTACATGTCAGGTACCTTTTATATTAGAGACCTTGTGTTGTGCTTTTCATGTGCTCATACCATGACAACACTTCTGAATGTGCTCTAAGTGGTTACTTGCCAGAAATGAGTTATCACCTGAAAGAGCTTCAGTATCAGGAATTTGGATACAAAGTCTTGTGCTTTGTTGTCCCATGTGCCAACACTCTGTTCAACTCCCTTTGTTAAGGAGAACAGCTCCTGCAATTATTGCTGAATTGCAATAACGTAATAGTGAGATACAGTAGCAGGTTCAGAACTGAACAAGTACTGCTATTTTCTACTGGTCACAGCATATCGCACCATTATTTCATCTGCCCTTCCTTTAAGAGAAGTTTAGTATTACTTCGAACACAATGCCATATCCCCAGTTTGCTAACCTGTTTGCATGGCCAGAGACAATCTTTAAGTAAGTGTAGGAACTTCACTGCAAGCCCCAGCACACAGGCTACAGTTCAATGTCTGTTTTGTAAAAGAACTGAAAAAAGTAATACTACTGGTATTGAAATAAGTGTGCTGCTATGGTCCAACTTTCAGCTGGCTAGCTGAAAAATCTGACAAAATTCAGGGTAATGTGGCATAAAGAAAACTAAAAGCCAGAATAATCATTAAAATTTCCTGCCTCGGTTATTTCTATGTTCCTATGAGTATTGGGCTGGTATCAGATCCAAAATATCAGTACTATTCTCCTCAAACTTTTACAGAGCACCAAACCTATACATTATCCAGCTATGATTACATATGAAGAAATTTATTCACTAGGAAAAAAAAACACAAATGTGCATAAATATTCATATACCCACTCTTAAGAGACAGGAACACCTACATTTGCTGTTTTGTTTGTTTGTTTTTAAGTATTCTTAACTGCACTATTTCCAAAAAATCGTATTTTTTTTGTACTATTATTGAAAAAGTCTCAATACCATCTCCCTTTATCCTGTTCTCCAACAATTACAGTCTTTGGTAGTCTTTATTAACAGCAGTTTTCCACACTGTCTTCTCCTGCTTTATTCCTCCGGAAGTTTCTGACTACAAAAGATATTTACCTTTTCATAAGCATGCATTGCTGTCAAAGTTACAGCAATAAACACTGGGATTCTGAATGAATTGCCTGGAAGCACTACAGTTGAATTAAGGATAAAAGAGCACCCACAGAATCTGGAAGTGAATGAAGAAGAACTAATAAAGCAGCAGCCTATGCTAAGCCCTATCAAAAAGAAAAGGGAGTCATCTCAACTGCAGGAAAGGGAAAGAACAGTCCCATCCTCCACCCACCCTTCCCTGCCTTCTCTGAGAAATCAAAACACACCAGTTAGCACAGTATTGCTGGCAACTCCTAACTTCAAATTCAGAAGAGGCTTTTCCTTACAGGTATTATACATTAGTTGTGTTACTTTTTAATGTTCTTTTTGCTTAAGCTGTTTAAAGGTGTTGGGAAACACCTGTGAATCATAAGAATTAGGAAGGACTCCTCTAAAAAGGTGATGTGGCCCATAGCCCAGCTGACATGCCTCTACACCAACACATCCAGCTCCTCTTGCTTGTTTCCCATGCTGAAAGCCATGGTACAATTAGAAAACTAGGATTTAATTGCTATCACAGAAATGTGGTGGGACAAATCACACAACTAGAACATTGGAACAAAGGGCTACAAGCTTTACAGGAGAGACAGGCAGGGAAGGAAGGGTGGGGGTGTTGCCCTCTATGTTAAGAAATGGATAGGGTGATGAAGATGGTGAAGGGCCTAGAGGAGAAGATGTATGAGGAGCGGCTGAGGGCACTGGGCTTGTTCAGCCTGGAGAAGAGGAGGCTGAGGGGGCACCTCATCACGGTCCACAACTTCCTCGCAAGGGTGAGTGGGGAAGCAGGTGACCTATTCTCTGTAATCACCAGTGATAGGACCCGTGGGAATGGTGTTAAGCTGAGGCAGGGGAGATTTAGGCTGGACATCAGGAAGAGGTTCTTCACCGAGAGGGTGGTTGCACACTGGAACAGGCTCCCCAACAAATTAGTCACTGCACCAAGCCTGTCTGAATTTAAGCAGCATTTGGACTGTGCCCTTAGTCACATGGTCTAAACTTTTGGGCAGACCTGTGCGGTGCCATGAGTTAGACTTGATGATCCTTATGGGTCCCTTCCAACTCAGGATAGATTGTGAAGAGTTCCCTGTAATGAACAGCCAAGAGCAGGTTAAGAGCCTGTGGGTAAAAATTAAGGACCAGACCAAAAAAGGACCTCTCGTGGTTGGGCTCTACTTACAGGCTGCCCGATCAAGAGGAGCCTGTTGATGAGACTTCTTGCTCCAGCTACAGGAAGGATCACACTCAGGCTCTCATCCTCCTGGGGGATTGCAACTATCTGGATGTTTGCTGGAAAAGCCACGTGGCAGGAAGCAAGCCATCTGGGAGACTCCTCAAGTTCACTGAGGACAACTTCCTCACCCAGGTATTAGACAAACCAACCAGAGGAGAAGCATTACTGGACCTGGTGCTCACCAGTGCAGAAGAGCTCAATAAGAGGTTAAGATTGGAAGAAGCCTAAGTTGCAGTGACCACACTCTGGCTGAGTTTGTGATCTTGAGGGATATGGGCATGGCTAAGAGCAAAATCAGGAACATGACCTTCAGAACAACCACCTTGCAGCTGCTCAAAGAATTAGCGGATGAGATCCCATGGGACATGGTCATTAGGAACAGAGGATCTGATTGCAGCTGGCAACTCTTTAAGGATATTTTCCCTGGAGTGCAAGAGCTCTCTATTTCCACATGTAATAAATCAAGCAGGGAAGGTAGGAAACCAGCATGGTTGAATAAGGATCTGCTGGTCAAAATTCAGCAAAAGAAGGAAATGCACAGAAGGAAAAGACAGGAAGGAAAGAAAAATACTTCAAAAAGAAGGAAATGGCCACACGCCCTGGAATGAGTGCAGAAATGATGTCCGGATTTGCAGGGATGGGATCAGGAAAGTGCCAAGGCACTGACAGAACTAAACTTGGCAAGGGATACAAAGAGTAACAAGAAGCCAGTCTATGATTCTATGAAAGCAGATTACTGAAGAACTACATGATACCTATGCTTTTTAAAAAAAAAAAAATAGTTAAGAAATTGGTATTTCCCAGAGTAAGTTTAGTTTGACTTTTAATACAGAACAGGCTGAAGTAGGTCCAGGAAGGATACATACCTTGCAAGACAATAAAGCAGAATCAAATTTAGCATTTAAGGTTCAAATGTCTGCAATCTTTTAATCTAGTTTTAGAGTACAATTTGTTGCATGCTTGCAACAGCTGAATTGCATCTATTAACCAGCAATACATATTTTCACCAGTTATCCAATGACTTATTAATAGCTCCTTCACATGGCGACAGGTAGTTCTA